AGGTTTGGAAAGAGAAGTAATTAGTACAAGATGGAGGTTATAATTTTTCAGTCCTGGCCAAAATTAAACTCTTGGGCAATGTGTCCTCACTCAACCTACCTGTTCTATACGATATTTTTATCGAATCAAAGTATACTTGCACTTGTTCCACTTTTGAAATCGAGGCTCAAAATAAAATGAAATTACAACTCGATCGAACTTATTTTGACACCGAAATTAGCTAACATATAATCATATATCTCACATTTATGTCACTTAGAATATAGTGCAGAACCTGAGACTGTGTGGATTCAATTCTAGTGAAGATTTTGGAGTTTCGCTCGTACCATATATGATCAATTAAAGCACGTAAGTCAAGGTTTGAGACGAAGTGGTTGGTCTTTGATTTCTAGTGGAATGAAGTCCAATTCACAAAGGAAATCTAGTTCATTGGGTGGTAATATGATCCACAACGTGTTTATATAAATGACCATATGGGCTGTGAGAATTTGCAAGCAAAAAAAATGTGGTTATGATATGATTTGCAAAAGTAGCATGACTTATTTGATCCAAAGAACACCATTGGTTTTTTATTTTTTATTTATTTTTATCAATGGTTGGAAGCTTATTATGAATAGCCCACCAACAAATTGGGATTAATGGTGAGCTCTAAATAAGGTAATTTCAATTGACTAGTGGAGTAGGGGAGAAAAAGAATGGTATGTGGTGTCTAAGGGAGTGGGAACCTGTTGGTGAGGAAATCATAATGAGTCATTAGTTCAGGAATTTGGTGGTGGATTTCCTACTAATGAATGGATGAGAGCAAGGATAGATGTTGAAAAGTTCTGATACGACCCTCACCCTACCCAGACACAATATTGTTTGTTTTTGGCTACCCCCCCAAAAACATCCCAGGGGATCACCCATTTTAGAATTACTCGAGGTTTAGCACGCTTAATTTTGGAATTCTAATGGGATCACAACTTTAAAACGCATTATATTATAGAAGAGTGTTGAATCTACATATAGCACTTGCCCCATACACACCCAGGCAATGTAGGATTGTGCACCTATAGCTCGCCCAGTGTAGTAGCCTACTGGTGCCACCTACACACACTTACACACACCCACCTATAAGGTGGCCACAATCACCCCTCTTTTAGGGCCCAACGTTCCCGTTGGCCACATTTCCGGTTGGGTCAGGCTCTGATACCATTTATAATGACCCACTCCACCACATGATATGATATTGTCGATTTTAGGCATGAGCCTGCACAGTTTTGTTCTTGGACTTTACCCCAAAAGGCCTCATACCAATTGGAGATAACACTACCACATATAAACACTTCACCTTTCCCTTATCCAGGCAATGTGGGATTGTGCACGCGTCTCTCATCCAGTGTGGTAGCTGGCCTATGCCTCGCATCCGCCCATAGGTCGTCGCCACAATCACCCCCCCTTTGGGGCCCAACATCCTCATTGGTCACACTTCTGGCTGGGTTAGGCTCTGATATCATTTGTAATGACCCTCACCTTATCCAGACACAATATTATCCACTTTTGTCTACCCTGAACCAAAAAATTCCCAGGGGGTCATCCATCCTGGTACTACTTTAGGTTAAGCATGCTTAACTTAGGAGTTCTGGTGTGTTCACGGCCATCACGACTTTAAAACGCGTTGTGTCATAGAAGGGTGTTGAATTTACATATAACACTTGCCCCATCCACACCTAGGCAATGTAGGATTGTGCACCTGTAACTTGTTCAGTGTGGTAGCCTACTAATGCCACCTGCACACGATCACACACACCCACCCACAAGGTGGCCATAATCACCCTCCCCCCCCCCCCCCCCCCCCCAATTTTGGGACCAACGTCCTCGTTAGCCACACTTATACCATTTGTAACGACCCAACGACCCACTCCACCACATGGTATGATATTGTCCACTTTGGGCCCGAGCCCACACGGTTTTGTTCTTAGGCTTTACCCCCAAAAGGTTTCATACCAATTAGAGATAACACCACCATATATAAGCACTCCACCTTTCTCTTACCCAGGCGATGTGGGATTGTACACCAGTATCTCGTCCAGTGTGGTAACTGGCCAGTGCCTCGCACCCATTTATAATGACTCTCAGCATATCCAGACACAATATTATCTGCTTTTGACTACCCTGAACCAGAAACTTCCTAAGGGGTCACCCATCCTGGTATTACTTCAGGCTAAACACGCTGAACTCTAGAGTTCTGTTGGGTTCATGGCCATCACGGCTTTAAAACTCGTTGTGTCATGGAAGGGTATTGAATCTACATATAGCACTAACCCTATCCATAGCCAGGTGATGTAGGATTGTGCACCTATAGCTTGCCCAGTGTGGTAGCCTACTGGTGCCACTTGCACACGCTTACACATATCCGCCCACAAGGTGGCCACAATCACCCCCCTTTAGGGCCCAACATCCCTGCTATCCACACTTCTGGCTGGGTCAGGTTCTGATACCATTTGTAACGACCATTCCACCACATGGTATGATATTGTCTGCTTTGGGTCCGACCCGCACGGTTTTGTTCTTGTGCTTTATCCCAAAAGGCTTCATACCAAACACCACCACATATAAGTACTTGACCTTTCCCTTACCCAGGTGATGTGTGATTGTGCACCCGTAACTTGCCTAGTATGGTAGCTGGCCAGTGCCTTGCACCCGCCCATAGGTCATTGCCATAGGTGAAGTACTTATATGTGGTGGTGTTATCTCTAATTGGTATGAGGCCTTTTAGGATAAATCTCAAGAACAAAACCGTGCAAGCTTAGGCCTAAAGCGGACAATATCATACCATCTGGTGAAGTGGGTCGTTACAAATAGTATCAGAGCTTGATCCAGCAGGAAGTGTGGCCAGCGAAAACGTTGGCCCTAAAGGGGGGGGGTGATTGTTGCGACCTTATGGGCTGGTGTGCCGTGGGTAGGTGCGAGGCACTGGTAGGCTACCACACTAGGCGAGTTATGGATATACAATCCCACATCGTCTGGATAAGGGAAAGGTAGAGTGCTTATATGTGGTGGTGTTATCTCTAATTGGTATGAGGTATTTTAGGATAAAGCCCAATAGCAAAATCGTGTGGGCTTGAGGCTAAAGCGACAACATCATATCATGTGGTGAAATGGGTCGTTACAAGTTCCAGGACTTACCAGTGAAGAAGTGTTCCAACTTTGCAAACCTATCTACTGATGAGGACTTAATTGTAACAAAGTTGAACCAGTGGTGCAGGGGGGCCCAATTGGCTCCAATTATTATACCAAAAGTGAGTGTTATTCCCATTCCCCACCTTATATCTGATTAATTTTGAAATGATGTGCCTCAATTGTAGTAGTTTTCTCCAATTCCATGAGCACCTTTGTGGTATATATCTTCACATACAATAAGCTATTTTTTTTTATTAGATATGTGTGTATCGATTTTGACCATAGGATTTGAGGGATATTCAGTGAAAGTTGGCAAAGAAATATGGAAATCGATACCTTATTAATTAAGAGCAAGTCTGGGAATCTAAATCCACCTTTTGAATTTGGTCCACATACCTTCTTCCGTGCAATTTTAGCTCCATGCTTAAATAGATTAGTACCTAACCATAAAAAAAGATTTGAAAATAACATTTATTTAATGACTTAGATTGGTAAGATGAAATGACTAGCCCAAAATTGTTGGATGCTACACAAAATAGACTTTACCAATTGCAGCCTACTTGAATATGAGAGCTTCTTACTAGTCCGGTGTTGAATCCTTGCAGTGATCTTGTTAATAAGAACCATACAATCAGTTGCCTTGAGATAGGTAGAATAAAGGATACACCAAGATATCTTATTGGGAGTGAGCCAACCTCTATTCCAAGTAGCTGAAGAGCGGAAGCTTTTGTAAGACGATCAACGTTGGAAAAGAAGATCAAGCTTTTATTTTTGTTGATTGTGACTCCAGAAATTTCAGAATAAGTATCAATAGCCTTTTGGAGTATTGAGACAGACTGTAAATCACAATGAGAGTAGTTTGCATCTCCAATGAAATTTAAAGGGGTTCGAAGTGGTGAGTTTAGTAACAATTGAATTAAAGACCTCCATGGCTATAACAAATAAGAAGGGTGAGAATAGATCACCTTGTCTTAGTCCTTTCTCAGCTTTAAAATAGCCAATAGCCTTGTAGTTCTCTATTCAATGAGATGAAAAAGCAGGGAGATGTTAAGCATGCTTGTATCCAAGCTATGAATGTGGTAGGAAAACCAAATAAGGATAGTGTCTCAAGCATGAATGACTAATCTATTGAGTCAAATGCTTTTTTTTAGATCAATCTTGATTGCACACCTAGGAGAAAGAGATGAGAGATGGTAACCATTAAGTGTTTAGTAACGTATAACCAAATATGCCTTAACATTCATACAATAAGTTGATAACAAACCCTTCGACATTTAGAAAATCCCTCTTACGGATGGATCTGAATTTCATCTTGTGCGGTGATTTGATCCTCTTCGTCCAGTGCACCAAAATGACACCACCATTTTAGTCATTTTAGTGCACACGATGAAATGGGTGGGTGATTGTGTTCCTAAAATAAAAACCTTTTAGATTATTATACAAATCTTAGCAAGTTTCTCTCCTTCACTGCAATTTATTCCCCCTTGACCACTGAAAATATTGTAGAACGGAGAAATTATTACAACACAGAACAATCTATAAAAATTGTACAGTACATGGAAGGACCCCCAAAGTCGAAGAGATGCTGCATTCCAACTTTAATTGCTCGAGTTCACCTCTCTCAAATTTACATAACATACCATACCATACCCACTCACACCATTGGATCCCATTGTAAAGCATAATATACACACACATCCCATTGTAAAGCATAATATACACACACATGTACTTTAATTTGAATTAGCTGGCACGTGTTAGGTTGAAATCTCAATCACTTGCACAGTGCACTTTAGAAAACAAATCGTATTACTAAAAAGGAAAGAGAAGCAAATCTACATCAAACGTCTCCTACACCAAAACACCCTTCAAAAGCAAAAATCCCACTATCCTCTCTCTCTCTCCCTCTCTCCACTATCACTATAAGTTCTTGTCTCCAATCCAACCAACTCACTCCTCTTCTCACTAAAAAAAAAAAAAAAAAAAAAAATGCACCAACATAAGCATATCAATCTTCTCTTCCCCTTCTTCTTCTTCTTGTACCTACTCTCATCTGTGAATGTAACATTCATCTCTCTCTTTTACATTTTTTTTCTCTCTCTTAATCATGTATTTTCTTCTTTACTATGTTCATATGCATTCATCATTCATGTGTGTTTATATAAATATATGTAAATGGGTGTTTATGTAATTATGTAAATACTCACAACTACTTTGTTGTAATTAACAATGCAGGTGGGTGTTACCGGAGCGGGAGAGAAATCCTGCGAATCGCCGGCCGGAGTGAACCCATTCACACCCAAAGCATTTCTGATTCGTTATTGGACCAAACAGGTAACTAATGACTTGCCCAAATCCTCATTTCTTCTCAACAAAGCCTCCCCATTAAGCGCCGTGGAATTGGCGACTTTTTCCAAACTCGCCGATCAGAACGCCCTCTCCACCCAACTACCCTCCTTCTGTTCCTCGGCGAACTTGCTCTGCTTCCCCGATTTATCGCCGAGTCTGAAAAAACACGACCACAACGTCAACTTTGCCTCGTACCTAAACAGGAACTTTACCAATTACGGAACAAGTCAACTCGGCGATTTCGACTCGTTCAAGAACTACTCCGACGGCGACAACCTCCCGGTCGACTCGTTCCAGCGGTACAGCCGCGACTCGGTGGGTCACGGCGACAAATTTGCCAATTATGCCGCTGACGCCAACGTCGCCGACCAGAGCTTCTCCACCTACGGCAGCACCGCCACCGGCGGCGCCGGCGAGTTCAAGAATTACCATCACGGGGTGAACAATCCCAACCTCCAGTTCAAGACCTACTCCACCGACACCAACGGTCGGCAACAGTCTTTCAATTCTTACAGCGATGATGCGAATGCAGGGGACCAGGGGTTCACGAACTATGGAAGGAATGGAAATGGCGCGGCCGACGGTTTCAATAGCTATGGGAAGGACTCGAATGTGGTGGGTTCCACCTTCAATGGATACGGCCAGAATGCTAATGGCGCGAATGAGACGTTCGCGTCTTATGGAGAGGACGGCAATGTGCCACAAAACAACTTCAATAGCTATGGCAATGGAGGTAACAATCATCTTTTTTTTATATATACAAAATTTTTAATCTGTTTTTATAATTTCATTTTTTTTTTTTTTCAATTCTCTTGGAAAAATTGAAAATTTTATAATATTTAAGAAGTTAACACCCAGAAGTCTCTCTAATTTAATTGTTAAAACAAATTTATTATTATGGTCATCCATTATGTTAGATTTCAACTCTCAAGTCGTGTTTTCAATGCGTGCATAAGTCTGTATTCGAACCTTACATTATTTTATTCTCCTTATAATATTCTTGCCATAAAAGTAAAAAATAAAAAAACTCAAACTCAACTGTTTTAGCATTAGAGGGGCTTTGGTTTTCAACCAGACGACTATCGTTAGAAAGTAACAACCTGCATTATTCTTTTTGTTTTTTTACCGTAATAATATTTCAACACATTAATATTTTCAACACGCCAATTATGTTTCAACGCACTAACTTCTACTTTTTAACAGATGTATTTCATTTTTATTATAATAATCTTTCAATTCATTAATTTTTAACACTATTTATTTTGTGTTGAAAAATCCAATCACACTTAAAAGATCTGTAGGGAACAATACTTCTAACGAAATAGTCAATGCCTTAAATATTGCTTTATCGGAATCATTTGTCGCAATTAGATGCATTGAAGTGGATTATTAAAAATTATTCCGTCACATTTTGGTTGTCAATCTTTGATTTTTTTTTAACTCTTTAAAAAGGCATATAATTAATGTATTGTCTTCTCTTCAAATTACTTAGTTAACCTTTAAATTTTAAATATTAGTATAAAATACAAGTTGAAAGATTCTTAAATAATTAAAGGAATAATTATGAAAATTTTGCATTTAATTTGTTTGACTTTTCAAGATTGACAATAATTTGAAACAACAACAAATGCTTGAGTCAAATAATTAGTCTTGAATATTAACTCTGAAAATCATTTTTTTCAATTCAAAATATTCAAAATGATTAAAATAACAAGAAAGTAATATTAAATAGGAATAATTGGAAGTGGTTTGAAAATCTTTTACATACTCCAACAGCCCAAAATACATCTAATGGGGAATTTAATTTTTTATGGTAGTGAAATTTTATTAGTTTTTTATTGTATTAATTCAATGAAGTTTTAAATATGTCATTAGTAAAAGATAAAATAGTGTTAAATAATTAGTGCAGTTGTTTAGACAAAATAATGTTACTAGTTTAGAAATGTGATAAAAAATAATATTTAGGACATTCCAAAATAGAAAATTGGACAAATATTTTGAGAGGAAGGAAATATTAGTTACGAACTATTTAAAAAAATTATTACAGAAAGACTCAAATTTATTTATTTATTGTTCATAGAAAAACATTATTAAACCCCTCTCTTAAATTATAATAGTAACTAATTATGTGAATGAAGAACTCAAACTGACAAGCAACTAAACTCTAAAATCTCTGATATGATCAGGTAATGCAGAGGTTGATATATTCAAGAATTACAGAGATCAATCCAATGTTGGGGACGACTCGTTCCAATCGTACGCCAAGAATTCAAATGCTGCGGAGGTCAAATTCGTCAATTACGGAAAATCCTTCAACGAAGGTACAGACAAGTTCACCGGGTATGGTAGTAAGGGTTCGAATCAGGAAATCGGGTTCAAACAGTACGGTGTAAACAACACTTTCAAAGACTACACCAAAAAGGGTGTCACTTTTGCTCAATACACCAAAAAGACTGCAAATCTGGCTTCTTTAATGGCTGCCAGTGGCAAATCCGTAAATAGATGGGTCGAGCCGGGCAAATTCTTTAGGGAGAGGATGCTGAAGACTGGGACTGTGATGCCGATGCCGGATATTCGTGATAAAATGCCCAAAAGGTCGTTTTTGCCGCGAGTGATTTCATCGAAATTACCGTTTTCGACATTGAGGCTGAATGAGATGAAACAGATTTTTCACGCGCGTGAGAACTCGAGCATGGAGGGTATACTCGCGGACGGACTAAGCGAGTGCGAGAGAGTGCCGAGCCCGGGGGAGACCAAGCGGTGTGTCGGGTCGGGTGAGGACTTGATTGATTTTGCCGTTTCGGTGTTGGGTCGGGCCGTGGTGGTTCGGACCACAGAGAACACTCACGGGTCAAAGGAAAATGTGATGATCGGGTCGGTTAAAGGAATCAACAGTGGAAGGATCACCAAGTCGGTTTCTTGTCACCAAAGTTTGTTCCCATACCTACTCTATTATTGCCATTCGGTTCCCAAGGTTCGGGTTTACGAAGCGGATCTATTGGATCCGAAAACTAAGGCCAAGATCAATCATGGAGTTGCCATATGTCACATTGACACGTCCTCTTGGAGCGCAGGTCATGGAGCCTTTATTGCATTGGGTTCGGGTCCGGGTAAGATTGAGGTGTGCCATTGGATCTTTGAGAATGACATGACTTGGACAATTGCGGATTGAATGTAGGGCCATAAAGTTGGATTCGAACCGTGCGCGTTACAATACTAAGCCATGGGTTCGACCCAAACTTAGGAGTCTTTTAAGTTGCCTTTTCCTAATAACATTCAAGTTTGTTAAAGTGAAAATGGTGTAAAGTTATTATCTTTTTTCTTTTCCCTTTTTCAGAATCTCAAGTATGTTTGGTTTTGCTTTCGTAATTTTTTAAAATGTAAGATTATTTTTAAAAAATTATAAAATATTATTATTAGTAAGCATATCTTTTTTTTTTTCTGAACTTTTAGAAGGCAGTTTTGAAAAACTGTCAAACTAAATATATTTTTGTATAATTTTTTAATTTTTAATTATCTAAAATTAAAAAACCAAACCAAACAATATTTAGATTCTTATATGATTTTTCAATTGCATTAATTGCTGAGCAAAGAATTAGAAAAGGAACAAAAATGAAAAATGGGTAGGGATTGCGTCGACTCGTTATTTTGTAAGATTTGCTTGGAATGAAATGTTAGGTGTGATGATAAAATGATTTGATGTAATGATGAAATTTGGATTGCTAAACGTCATAATACAATTTTAAGTTTGAATATAATTGTTTTTGTGTCAATAATATCAATTAATATTTTGGACACTATTTAATAAGGGTCGGTTGGTTCAGCAAAATAAAAAGACAATAAACAGCTTTTTTAAACAGACTTTCGAATTGAAAAAAAAAAAAAAAAATAGACTTTCGAAAAATAATTTTTAGCAAACTACAACTAAACAAGTTTATGAATTACTTTTAAATTTTTAATTCTTTAAAAATAGAAAAATAAACCAAACATAGTCTTCATCTACCTAGTGTTTGTTTACATTATCTTAGATTCTTATCTAGTCCATTTAAATGTGAGAAATGTAAAAATGAAGTTAAAAATGTTCTCCGAGCATAAGTTTGGCGCTCTACCAACTGGGTTACAGGTAATGCTCTAATATTACTTGCAAAGATCCCTATTGGCCACTGAATATTTTATTATTCTATGATTTTCAATTTTTTTTTGGATTCAATCAAAATAGTTTGTTTGATTCTTTGGAGAGTGAACAGAAAGGATAGTTTTTCTGGCCTAAGTGTACCAGTTGAATATTTAGAAATCTCAAGCACTTGCACCATAATTTACAGCATTTTTGAAATATTGCCAACTAATTGAACAAATTTCAATTCTCTATGAGGTTCCAATTAAAATTCATATAAAATACAAAAATAACATAACAAATTGGGAAAGATAATTTTATAGTGAAGTTAATTTCTACACTTATTTTTGTTGAATATATGTATATATATATATATACACACACACATACATACGATATATGTGAGATACAGAAACATCGATAATTACTATTATATATGCTTTTAGAATGTGTCTATTAAAATTTGAATGGAATAGTTGCAACTATTCATATGGTAATAACTACTATGCTTCTAGAATTTGCTTCTTGAATTTTAATTTGAATAGGTTACAACCATTTAGATGATGTGTGACTTTTGATTTTGACTTTTTGAAATTCTATAAATAGTGGTACTACATCTTTGCCACTCACTTTTGGTTTGTACCTTTTGAAAGTCTATTTTGTTTAGGTTATCGATTATCAAGTTGCAAAAGTTGATATCAAATCAAATTCAAGGATTCACATTAGTGATTCATTATTTTCACGTTTTAGAAAGTTTGGTCTGTTAAATTTGTGATGCAGAAATGTAAGATATAAAATAAGAAATTGAAAGAGAGAGATTGAGAACATAATATATACATGGTTCGACACTAAGATCTATAAATTTGGATCAAGATAAATTAAGGAGGAAAGAAAGAAAACGTATATAATATATATGTATAATATATATAATATAAGGAAAGAAGGGAGAAAAAAACAAAATATAATATATATATATATATATATAATAGATATTTTAATATTCTACTGCAAATTCAAGATGGGTTTCTCGAAGTCAACTTGAGTTTGAAAATGAAATCTTGAAAACGGTGGTGGAGCGAAAAGCATCCAAAAGGCCGGAACAATGCTGGGGAAATGGGTTGGAATAAAGCCGAGAAATAGGCTAGAGCAACACTGGGAAACATTTGGGTAATACATCTGACAAATAAAAAAGATCCGAAACAAAGCCGGAGAAATGCCGGAACAACGCCTGGGAAGTGGCCGGAACAACGCCGGGGAAGTGGCCGAACAAAGCCGGGGAATAGTCAGAACAGCGTCGGGAAATAGTCAGAACAACGCTTTGGAGCGTTGATTACTGTTGATGAAGGAGGAGCGCATGGGCACATGTAGAGCGAGTGAGATCTACTTGCAGGAGCGTGTGTCACGTGAAGCGCAAGTCAAATTTACTTTGGAGCGTCGGCACGTGACGGTGCGGGACATTGCTTGGAAGCGCGTGGTTGATCAAAAGGAAAAACAAAGAGAGATCTAAACCAGAAACGGATCAAATTTTACTGGTCTTCTCCTTCATTGTTCTCTGCAATCAGTAAAGGAAATTGAAGAAAAAAAAAGAAAAAAGAAAAAAAAAAGAAAAAGAAAATAAACGATCTAGGATCGTTGCTCTGATAACATGTTAAATTTATAATGCGAAAATATAAGATGTAAAATAAGAAGATGGAAGAGAGAGAGATGGAGAACACACTATATACATGGTTCGGCAATAAAGCTTACATTCGTAGATTAAGAGCCACTGAGGTTACATTTCTCTTACTGATTGTATTTCTTGATACGTTTACATTGTATTGATACATAATATATAGGAAATAAAGTTGACAAAAGAAATAAATTAAAGAGAAAAAAAAAAAGGAAAACTAATATAATATATATATAATATATATATATATATATATATATAAGGAAAGAAGTCAGGAAGATGGAAACAGAATATAATACATATATATATATATATATATATATAATATTTATTTCAATATGTTCATCTCCAACAACATGGTTAGCATATTTTTTGGATCGCTTGTTTTTCAACAATTTCTCCTCGACATGTATTTACCTTTCCTCTCTTTTTTACCCCAAATATAATAATATTTTGAAGTAATGGTTCTAAGAGGTCCCTTTCATGAAAAGAGCTACGAACTCTTCTTATTTAACTATTAGATGAAATAAATTTTTTAAATTATAAAAAGTCAAATCAATTGTTTAATAAAAAATAAGAGAGTTCATAACTCTTGTCATGATAGGAATCTCTTAAGAATATTACTCAATATTCTAAACACTGCTAATATATATATATAAAGGTAAAGTCTAACTTTTGTCCCCACTGGTGGTTTCTTTTTTCTTTCAGTTGTTTGGTAAAAAAAGAAAAAAAAAAAAAAAAAAAAGGGAGAGAAAGTGAGAGAGAGAGAGAGAGAGAGACAGTTTGGTATACCTGAGATTCACTATATATATGTGTGTATGCATATATATATATATATATATATATATATATATATATATATATATATATATAAAAGGAAAAAGAAAAAGAGAGAGAGAGAGAGAGAGAGAAAGAAACATAGAGGGCAGAATGATTGAAAAAAACAAATTCACAATCTTCAACTTGAACTGCATAGAAATTTACTTTTATAATACCATAAGTCATCTATTATTTCTTTTAAACAAGTACAACACTATCTTAATGTTCACATCCCTAATTTAGAAATAAAAAAACACCAACAGGTAAAACAATTAAAGAGCATCATGTCTAAAGAAAGCACTCGATGGAGTTCATCATTTGCGTAGATTTGTATCATGATTATGTTTTTTTTTTTTTTTAATTTTTTTTTAAGTGAGAAATATTTTGAATAGTTGTGTAAATTGTTTTTTTTCTTTGGACTTACTCATTCCCACATTTCACAAATGGCTCATTTTTCACCTCTTCTTTGACGAAAGAGAGAGTAGGTGCAACTTGATGGATTGAATGAAATAGATTCTGCATACATCTCAATATAGAACCCAATTCATGTGATGGATCATCAAAGTTTATAGCACTGACTTTTCTTAGAATTCACAAGAAGGTTCACTAAGTGGTTGGGGACCAATGAGTTTGGAAACCGAGCTGTAAAGAAAACATAGAAGAAGGCACGGTGGATGCAAAGTTGGTGTTGCTAGATAGACTAATACTTTCTCAAGGCCCAATGCCATAAGCATGCCATCACTTTAGTCCCCCACCGGCCACTGTCCACCACACTGTTTATCATGCCAGCTTATATACTCAATTTCTTTTACTCTTTTTTCAGATAAGGAATTATATATTCATTTTTCTTAATGGATCATATCATTTTTTTTAATATATATATATATATATATATTAGTAATTAAATAAGGGTTTGAATAATTGTTAGACATCAGGGTACAATAAATGTTAATTTGACGTAGACAAAATGATGAGTTATAACCCTAAGGAGTTGGTCTAGTTAAAATTTTTTTGAATCCTGGTGACTCATGTACAAACAATTTTTTTGGGGTCATGTCCGTAAACATAGTCAAATTTTTACCTGATCCATATGAGTGTGGAGGGACGCCTTGCACGAATCTTGTGGATTAGTCGGGGCAAAGTCCTCCTATCCCGTTATCAAAAAAGAAAATACTTAAGAATTTAGAAATATATTTTCCCGATATTGTGAGATTTAGCAATACTAATGCTTAAGAATTTATTTTCATAACAATCTACATGATGAAAGTCACCAAAAAATAAATAAATAGAAAGGTGTAGTCACAAAATATGTATGCTCATATGTATGCTCAATGAGCATACATATTTTGGGTCATGCCAATATAATGCCGAAATTATAATACAAAACTCTTGTGGGTTGTTGTTCGTGTAACCCTAGTATTAGAAATTAAGCTATTACTATGACATATCGCAGAAATCATACTAACTAATGTGTGGATTAGCCAAATACGCTTCGAAGTAATGATTTTTCAAAATCCACATGAAATCACACACTTTTTAAATTCCTAGAACCATAACCCTTAGCCATTATGCGCCATCCAAGCTAGCTCATAATACTAGGTTTTTCTAAAATCATTAAACACAAAAACAAACTCTTTTAAAACACTTTTCGTAACTTTCATCAAGTGAAAATGTTTGGCTAGGTTAAAACTCATCGAAACTCTTTCAAAACCCTACATTTTAGGTCTAGGCTTCTTGATACCTAGGATAGCTTAATTCATCAAAACT